TGAAAACTGCCGTAGAAGCATGAAAAAATCGATTATTTCCACTATCGACGTGAGTTGGGAAATGCAAAGTCGGTCTTGGCCTTCCCGCTAACTTGGAGCATGTGCATAAAAATTATGGTGCAAATCCATCGTAAATTACAGCCGTGCATTCGTTACACACACACTCACTCACACACACACACACACACACACACACACACATCCTGCCTTATATATATATATATATATATATATATATATATATATATATTGTAGCAAAAAACAAAAATTTCCTCAACTATTTCAAGTTGTTCTGTACACGGCCATCATCAGCCCCTAAGTGTCTGTCTCGAAGCATTGTTTTAAATTTATTTTCAATGTCAGTCCTCCTCTGGTAGACGCCTTGTTAATTAGAGTGTGTTTGTGTTAACGATTGGTGGGGGCGTAAGGTATCTCATCCTGGGGGCAGTGGTCTGGGTTGGAGTTTATTTATGGCCAGGACTTGTTGTTTGTAGTTTAATATCATTTCCTACTATTTGGTGTTTCTTATAAAAAGCCCCGGAATGTCTTTTTCTGGGATTCACAAAGCTAAATACATTCTATTTAATATTGAAATTTAAGGAAATAACACATCATCGAAGAAATCAGTAGTAAATTTTTTTCGGCAGATAAATTTTTAATATCTGCTTCATCAAACCGAAATTACAAAATGGTTTAAATTTATCCAGATAGTAATAAAATTATTTAAAATTTAAATCACAAGAGAACAGAAAGTAAATGTCTGAATTACTTAACCAAGAAGCATTTTTCTGGGAGTTTTTGATATGTCCTGGAAAGGGATATATTTGTTCGAAGTAGCAAAGTGGTTGTTGACTACTGTAACCGGCTAGGACAACCTAGCAGGTAACCGTAATGGACGAAGACAATAAGCGAAGACAATAGGCGTAGTCCTGTACCTCCGCATCAGTCTGTATTTATGGCTGACACCAGCCAATCATATTACTGTGAGAGGTAACCCAGGTGTATGCATATTCATTACATCAGTTTCCATTATCAAAGAGAGGAGTCGGGAAAAGAAAAAGGGAAAGCAAATTGTCAACACCAATGAGCAGTGGTAGGAGGAAGAAGTAAAATGAAGAGCAGATGTCAACTCGGGATTTGAGGTCGTTTTCAGACAATTCATGAGGCACCCATTTTCCAAGTTTAGGAACTTTTCCAAGTTGTTGAAGATGACGATGAACAGTTGTATGATTTGAACTGAGAACCACCGCCAATTCCTCAATTGATAAAACAGGATTTTCTTCAAGGGCTGCTTCAAGAAGCTTTTCATCAAACTCAACTGGACGTCCGGTTCGATCTTCATCTTCAAGGGTGAAATTCCACCTCTGAATTTTGCAAACCATCTTCTGCAAGTTCTTTCATTCACACATCCTCTCCATAAACTGAGTGAATGTTTCTAGCCGATTCGGCTGCTGAGTTTCCTTTCTTGAACTCATAAAGCATTATGTGCCTCAGATGATTCTTGGGTACTTCCATGTTAGCAGGGTTTTAATCAAACAACATTTAATTTTATTGTTCACTGAAATAAATGCATCTAAACATAAAAATAATGTTCAGCTCCATTAGACATTATAAAATACTCTTTAAATTTCGTTCATTTTAAAAACCTAAAATTCGGACAGAACATGGGATGACCTGATATATATATATATATATATATATATATATATATATATATATATATATATATTATTATTATTAATGAATATTTCATTAAATAATATAGACAAGTTTTGTCTATTTATTTTAAGTACGTTCCTTTCATATTGTCTGATAAGCTTAATATCATTATCAGTGAATGTCGAAAGAAAATCATCATATTGATACATGTTTTTTAATCTTATCTAAGCTTTCGATTTTCGCTTCCGCGTCTCGTATACACGAGTTTGTCGTTGCTTTGAAATTTTTCATGCAACAAAAACAGACTATCATTATTGTTTCGTCCGTGTCTTATTTGATATACTGAAATGTAATTCTTATCTTTGATAATGGCTTATGTAAGCCGAATGTTTAGACTGGATTTAAACATGTATCAATATGGTGGTTTCCTTTCGTCTTTCAATGATAATGTTATTGAGCTTATCAGACAATATGAAAGTAGCTTACTTGTCTATTTATTTAATGAAACATGCATTAAGGAAAAACTGCTGCCTAAATATACACAAATATATATATATATATATATATATATATATATATATATATATATATATAAACATATATTATTAAATATAACAGACAATGAATGTCTATTATGTCTGATCATGAGCCGTTCTAATGTCCGAATGTTTGCTTTAATTTTGGTGAAAATAAAGACAAATTTGTCCAACATATGGATATGTTTTTATTAAGTTGGTCCAAAAAGATATATTTCTCTCTTTTCTCTCTCTGTATATATATATATATATATATATATATATATATATATATATATATATATATATATATATATATAAGCAGCATCTTCATTCAAGAATGTTCGGTTGAATAATCTAGAGATATGTCCATTTATTTTTATTTTAATTACCTGGAATTCACAGAACAATTTCTTAGTGCTGTTACTAAGCTGATTAAGAAAGACGCCGTAGTTTGTTTTTTTTTTCACAAGTAAACACTTCACAAATTTCATTCATTTTTGTCTTAACCATGCACCCTTGAATGTTATCTTGATGATATATATATATATATATATATATATATATATATATATATATATATATATATATATATATATATATATATATATATATATATATGAAATATCTCATATTGATATTATCAATATGCGATATATATATATGAAATGTCGATATTTCATATATATATATATATATATATATATATATATAATAATTATGAAATATCACATATTGAGTTCTGATGTTCATAAAATAGATCTTGATGATATATAAATTATGTATTAATAATAAATAGATATTTTTCTCAAGTTATATAACAGTTAGTTTTATCTCAGCACCTGATGATTGAAATATGCATGAATAATCTTCGTTGTGCTACCGCTGCTACTTCAACCAACGCTTTTATTCACTGGGTCCTGTGTCCTTGGGGATAAAAGCGTTGGTTGAAAGAAACCAATGACTTGACCCAAAAAGTTGTGTGTTGACCACTGCATAGATTATCAAAATGTTTAATTACTAAAGGGAAATAACTAAAACAGATATTCTGAAAAGGCATGGCACGTGGAACAAGAACTAAATAAAGGGTTCAGTTCGAAGTTCAAATGTATATCACCTGAAGAATGCCGACGCGTAGCACGGCCGAAACGTCGTGAATATATCAGTAAATATAAAGACACCAGTACGAACAATGGAAATAGAATCTTTTTGCATTAAACTTCCAAGTGGGGTGGACCTGACCGCTAGACAATCATCACTCGATATCATGGTCTTCGATTTGAACTCGAATATCAAGCCTCTGGACAGGGGGGTAACGACGCATCTATCTCCGCTATCCAGCCGGTCCCTTACGCCATTCAGTTTAGCGTGGTCAAATTCGTTTTTGCAACCTTCATTACTTCTTTAACTTCGCAGAACGCTAGCCGACATTTTCATTTCGCGAGGCCCCTCTTGTTTTGCAATAGGACATCTCAAATTTCTCCGAAAATCTCCCGAGCTCATGATTTAATACCCCGGTTCCCCACCCCTAGACCATCCCCCTGTGGGGGTAACGTCATTAACGTGGAAATTAAAAACACCAACTATATCGTTACGTTGCAAGTCAGACAGTGGAAACTGATATGTCCGATAACAGAAGGACGATTTACGATTTGGGTTGATGAAGGAAACCCTCAACCCCACCTCAGTGGAGCAAGTAGGGACATATTTGTGGTTGGAGATACTAGATGGCAGGGACAAAGCTTAAAAGTTCGACTAACACCGGAACGAGAAAATGACATGACACATCAGTCTAAAAGAATTTACCTACTCACTTAAGTAATTTCTTTATTTGAGAGGCAATATTTGTTACGTTAACCTAGCTATCTAGACAGATAGATAGATAGATAAATAGATAGATAGATAGATAGATAGATAGATAGATACTTGATTGTTAATTCTGAACTGAGTTGAATATAAACGTACAGAGATAGATAGATAGATAGATAGATAGATAGATAGATAGATAGATAGATAGATACTTGATTGTTAATTCTGAACTGAGCTAAATATAAACGTACAGAGGTAGATATGAGCAAGATAGATAGATAGATAGATAGATAGATAGATAGATAGATAGATAGATAGATAGATAGATAGATACTTGATTGTTAATTCTGAACTAAGTTAAATATAAACGTACAGAGATAGATAGATAGATAGATAGATAGATAGATAGATATGAACATACTTAGATAAATAAAAACTTAAATCTAAATATAGGAACGTAGAAACGCAGTGATTTATTGTTATATGAACAGAAGACAGCATATTAGATACAATGAGATAGCTAGATAATTACTAATTTTTAAGAGGCTTAAATTTAAACATAGACACACTCACACACGCACGCACGCACACACACACACATTTATATACATTCACACAGATAGATAATTATCAAATTGAAAGAGAACCATGTATGTATCTAGATAGATATTAATTTTTAAGTCTTCACTATAAACATAGGTACGTATTTATAGATAGATATGATACAGACTGAGATAGATAGATAGATAGATAGATAGATAGATAGATAATGAAATAAGTGTGAATAGTTTGTAAATATGCCAGGAGCATAAATCCGAGAACACACACGCACGCATACACACTGATACGCACATACACACACGCACACACATATATATATATATATATATATACACATAATATATATATGTGTGTGTGTGTATTCGAAGATTGGCTATTAATTTCTATGTTTGTGTGCGTGCACGCATGTCTGTATGTATGTGTGTATGTATGTGCGAGTGTGTACAATCGTCTTTTCTAAATGAAAAGATAGATAGATAGATAGATAGATAGATAGATAGATAGATAGATATGAACAGACTGAGATGGGTAGAGAGATAGAATGAACAGATTGAGATAGATAGATAGATAGATAGATAGATAGATAGATAGATAGATAGATAGATAATGAACAGGCTGAGATGAATAGAGAGATAGAATGAACAGATTGAGATAGATAGATAGATAGATAGATAGATAGATAGATAGATAGATAGATAGATAGAATAGCCTAATATGTTGACTAGTAAAGTTCTTTTCAGTGAGATATGATGTTTAGAACCAACGTACTCAATATGAAGAAAGACTTATCTTCTGACTTCAAAATTCGCAGATACATTGCTTATTCGTCAGACCTATCTTCAAATTTAAAATGTTACGTCATAATCTGCAATAATTTTAATGTAACGTCAATCGCTATCTACTGTCCCTCCTGTTTTCTCCTTTTAATTTTTCTTCGATGTTTCTCTTCCTAATTCCACCAGACCCTGTAATATCTCATGCCTTGCTTGGGGTGATACCAATTAAAAAAGAAATTCCATTGTTTTATTTATTAAACCTTTATCTTGTCCAGTGCACTCCTTCCGTCTCTATAGTGTTTTTTTTTATTATCTTTTTCCTTTAATGTTCGTTTTAATCTTTAACTTTTATACATCCTGCTGAAAAAAATATTTGCTATGTCTTTTACCTTTTCATGAATGCCTGCTACTTCTGAGATTTGCAAGTTTTTTTTTTTTTAGCTTAGCACTGGCTTGAACTTACTTCAGTTGCTTTTTGTTTAACCTTTTATATCCTGCATCCGTTCCTGGACTTGTCTGCCTACGTATCTTCCTATAGATATTGATTCTTGTTTCCAAAGAAGAATCTGTAATATTATTGATCCTGACCTGGCTTCCGTTCCTCCACCAGGACTGTGGTTTTGTTATATATACAGGGTGAGTCCTTACTGGTGAGGATCTTCCAGGTTGTATAGATATAAATGGACCAGATTCTTGACAAAAGGGCCAACTCTCCAATGTTAAGACCAACTTAGAAAATTGAAAACTCAGGTCCCCATGTTAAAATTGACCTGACTCATTGGGGGTGGTCAAGTAAATATCTATATACAGGCTGAGTCAAAATTATGTTAACATTAGTATGAGAGGAAACACTTATTCAGAGTTTACTGAACAGCACAACTGATGCACAAAAAACAGTGATCAATTAATCAATTAAGTCCCTTGACACGCATTTCAGGGGGAATGTTTCACATTACACCGTTTATCTGTCCTCGAGTTCTACGATGTCTCTAACTTTTTTTGCTATACAAGTAACCCTTTATCCTCAATCCAAGCCGCTATCCATTACTCCACCGTGTCTCCTCAAATCGAATCCATTACATTCACTAATACCCTTGGGAAAGGTGTGAATCCTCTTCTCCCTCCAGCTATGGGTAAATAGCAGGACAGACTGGGTTCTATAGCCTTGGATGGCAACTGGTCTAGAAGAAGGACAACTCTGAATTCAAAACCTGCGGAGGGTGAATGGAGTCTCTCTGAGCCTTGGTTGGCAATCCATTTAGTGATGGTGTCACGATAAAAACACCCTTGATAGCCCTAGCGAAGCATCAAGAATTCAGCTATTTGACAAGATTACGAACTACACCAATCAAAGTATTAGCTATGACAGATAAGGAATACTGGAAAGGTGTAGTGAGTTAAATCTCGGCTGAGGCCGCAAAAGAAGAAGAATCCTTTATCATATCCCATAACCAGAAGTCAATGGGTATCAGATCAAGGGAGTCTAGTGGCCATGCCAACAGTCCGCCACGACCTCTGCAACGATTTGGGAAACTTTGAACGCAAACAGTATGGCCAGAGTGAGACGGTGCACCATCCTCTTGGAAATACCCTGCTCATCTGATTTGTAGGGGTAGGTTATCAATGGCAAATTCTTGCAGCGTTTGTGGGTAACCATTTGAAGTCACCGTTGTAAAGAAATAAGGGCCAATTACACTCTGGAACTTCTAGTGTTGAGGTACGATACAGGATCGCGTGTAATATATAAAGCAATAATAACAACAAAATTGAAATATGAACACTGGTAAAAAAAAAAAAAATTATCGGGACATTAAGTTTATGAGCCTCCAAAATGAATATACTGATGTCCTCGAGGGCACATCTCCCTGTGGATAAAAGCAGTGGTTGGATCCAATCATTTAACCCAAAGAGTGTTCATGGTTGTGAAGGACAAAAACTGTTGGGGTCATCCGAAGATTACCATTTTTATGTCGAGTCACGAACGCTGTGTCATGGCTTGGGTGACACCGTTTTTAAGGGGAGGTAACTAGGTATGCTGTGTAAAAATTCAGGACTTGAGTAGTTGCTAGATAAAGGAAAAACTATTAATGTCAATCGCTAACATTTAAAGAAAACCTATTGTACACATTTTTAAAAAAATTGGGAGTATTCGTAATTAATTTTATTGACGTTTGGTTTCA